GGCGGAGATGGGATAGCCGTTGCCGTGCACTTGAAAGCGGCACCCTACTGCAGTTGCGGACCACCTTGCACATGGACCAGGTTCCAGAACACTGAGTGCACAATTTTGAGTGCTGGTTCAATAACAGCATATAAGTTCTGTATTGCTCAGTACCACAAGTAATATTACAAAATGTTTGACATGAAATAATCCCATAAATTAGCGGCCAGTGACCAATGATAATTGAGGAATGCACCATGTCATGGATGTGAACTACTCCCGCAAATGTTTTGTGGATCCACCAAACCTGTTCTAATCGTTTCAGAAAGTGTCTACACCCGGGACTGTAACTACTGTCTAGGCGACCCGAGGAGCGCTAAAGAAAACGTAGAGGGTCGTCATCAAGAGGAACCTGAATGGAATCAAAGCCAGCGCAGGAGATGCCTCGGATGGGAGAAAGGGTCGACTTCGAAAAGAAACAGCTCAGCCCAGAACGGGTATGATTAAAACAAGAAAGTAGAGAAGAGAAATGGTTGTCATCCGAGCAGGAACTCGATCGTTTACAATCTCGCTTGAGCGACCGGAGTAGGCGCGATGCAGGTTTGAAGATCTCAGTAAACACATGGTTATGCATGGAACTGCGACTGAACAACGAAGGCCGAGAAAGGAAGCAACTCCGTTCAGAATAAATCTGTCTTGCAAAATGCTTGACGAAAACATACAGCATCGTAAGCGGTCCCGCTTCCGAGTTGTTGCGTTCAGGGTATACCATATGTACCGTTACGCAAATTTTTTTGCTAAATATGGCCCAAATTTTCCCCTCATTGCGACACCCCTTCACAACAACCCTACCTTTCACTGACTTTTTCTCGAAAATTTATCATCGAGGGGATGGAGACACTAATCAATTGTGAGAAAATAGTGTGGTAAATAAATTGTAGTTCTGCTCTGCCGCCTTCAGGGGGTGAGACTATAGCGCGCGTGGTGCGAAAAAAAAGTCAGCAATCAGAAGAAATTTTCTCCATGGGAAATATGAGCCCTTCCTCCTCAGCGACCTTACACGAATTCCACACATTTGACGCTGTGCCCTGATTTTCTACCCACACTTGATGCTCACCATCAGTCCATTCACGACCAGGATCATATCGACCACTGATGAAAGGACACCATTTCCTTTTGGGATTATCGTTAAGTTGGTGGTTATATCAACTAGATAGGCATGGGTGCTGACCACCGTGTGATGAAAAGCGACTGCGTAAAAGGAATATCGATTGATGTTCCACGAGTAAACGACTCTTAAATTTTTTCCCAAAAACTCCTTTCTGGTTCGCGAGATAATCGGCCAGGCTGAAATGCAGCCGTCGCCCGGACTATTCTGCCTCTTGGTTCCATTTATTTCAACATGGACAGTATGCCGAATTCGAAAAAAATGATTTCGTATTCTGAATATGGCAAATATCCTACGAAGTGCTACGCTGAGATCAGGGTGGATTTTCAGAAGCAGATTGAATGGTCCTATTAGGAGTTCTGCGGATATAAGTAAGCATTAACAGTTATGTCGACTTTCAGGTATCAACAGTGAGAAACTAAGCTTACCGACGCAAAAACCTCGTTGTAAGGTTCCTCCCCGGCGTTGTCAACGCAGCGCACTGTTAGAGAATGAGAGCGTTGCTTTTCGTAGTCCAGATGGATGATTAAGTGAGATCTCAGCCGTGCTAAAATGGATACACTCACTCGGAGTATGAACTCACAGCCGATTAATGTCGGAAGGCTCCATACCTTTTGTTAATTTTGAAGTGTCCATCGTCGCCAACTAGCGCGTAAAGAAGTCGAGAGAATTTCCCCTGATCTCCATCTCTAGCGAGCGGATACGGTAACTCTAGTACGGTTCCGATTTTTGCAGACTCGTTGATATAAGGTAGTGAAGACCGACCCCTCGATTCACAAAAAACAAGGCCTAATGCGATGTTATTTAGATGACTCACTGGAAGGTAGTTTTATTTAGGCTCTACAGATTTTCGAACAAATTGAAGTGAATGATTAGAGCATGCCATCTTGGTGTTAATGGTTAGTACCTGTTATCATTGGCATCGGTGAGAAGGATTGAAAAGTTAGTGGTCGCATTGTTCCCATCTCTATCGATTACGGTAACTCGTCCCTCCAACTTCCGATAAGTCTCAAAATCGAGACTTCGCCTTTGTTTTTATGAAACGCCCTCGCCATCGATTTCGAGAAGATCTTGTGGTCCCGATACAACTTCTAGTGTATACCTGAAAGCTCTGAATGGTAAGCGGGATTTGTACAAAAGGGAGGGTGTGGGGATACATTCACACAACAGGAAAGATGTGAAAATGTCGGAAACCTTACTTCAGAGGCTGTCTCCATCTGCTTCGGCCTTTACTTGATGCAATCCGCGAATACTCAATCGAGGACATCTTCAGAGACAAGCAGCTTTGACAAGATTGTCTTGTTGAAAAGTGCGCTGCCAGTCAGATGTGTCCACCAGTTATGATGAGTCCGCCACTGAAACATAACCGATATTCACCAGTTATGCTAATGAAGATAACGAACTAGAACGCAACTTTATAAGCAACTTTTTATTTTACACTCCCAGTTTCAAGGCTCCAGAACCTTGACTGCCGAAAATCTCCGCTCAAAGGCAGTTCGATATATACAGTCGTCATCCGGGCAGTTGATTAGGCGGTCAAAGGGTCGCAGACGCGGCTGCGGCGCGTCACGACCGCGGCGATCAGCTGTTTCCAGCCTATTTAGCCATTTTCCCCCTATTTTTAGTGCATTACTTATTTTTTTCAAAGTAGTTGTTTTTTGTCTTTATAAAGTATATTAGACGTGGATTCTTTTTTTGTTTCCGTAATGAAGTGTTTTGCGATTTTTTAGGTAATTGTTTGATTGTTCGTTTGATTATTCAATCGTTCGCAAAAATTAAAGAAATCTCAATCATAATTTACCTTGTGAAGGCAAGGAACAACTAACCTTAAGAAAAGCAGCCAAAAACAGTGAAAATTAGGGAGAAAATGGCTAAATAACAGCTGATCGCCGCGGTCGTGACGCGCCGCAGCCGCGTCTGCGACCCTTTGACCGCCTAATCAACTGCCCGGATGACGACTGTAACGAGAACGAGTCCGCAAACAGGCCGTGCGCCTGCTCCGCACCGATTTCGACGGCTCAGATCTGTAGGGCTTCGGCGCCGGTGTGTGTGGAGCGAGCAGGAAGGGTTTCTCGTCGTACAGGTGAGATGTCCAAATTCTAGAGAATCACACAGCTCTCGAGGCAGAGCTCCAGTAAGCACAACCCAGGTGAGGCAGAGCTTTCTGTGAAGAGGCACTACGGTAGCCCTTACTGCCCTTAATCCTAAACAGAGGGCAACCGCATTTTTTCGAGGTATCAAACTGATAGTTGTAAAAGGCGGAACTATTGATTGGCCTGCGCTAGATATGTCTGCCAGTCTGATTGTCTGATTTTAAACCCCTTCTCAATTAACACAATCACTTGTGAATTGAACAAAAAAGACCA